TTGCTTCCACTCCAGTTCCATCTGTAAAGCGGAGGCAATAATATTTACTTAAGGAGCTATTGTGAGGATTAAATGTGTTCATGTATAAAGGAGCTTAGAATAGTGCAAATGATAAAACTGAGATCTTGATCAAAGTCATCAAGCTAGTCAAAAGGTGAAGCTGAGAAGTGACCCCAGGTAATCTCGTACCCGGCTGTGGTGTTATTCACCATTCCAAACTGCCACAAAACATGTTAGAAAGTGATAGAGCCAACACTCAAATGCAGTTATCAAAATTTAGATCTTTGCAATGCTCTATTTAAACATTTAGAGTCACATAGAACCTTAGAAAGTATTTATGTATTGTTTTCTTTCAGCAGATATTTGATAAATTGTGTGCACATAAAATACCGAAAAAACACGTATGTAAACACATAAACATTTTTATTTATTATTTTATTTTATTTATTTTTATTTATTTTATTTATACAATCAACCATGTCCTATAAGTTACGAGAGTTGTAAAAATTCAAAAGGTTGAGAGATGATTTCCAATAAGCAAGACTAGGGAAAAGGGGATTTTTTTGACACAGTCCCTTAAGAATGACTATAGTTTTGATAGGTAAATGTTAGGGGAGAAGATATTCCTCTTTAGAGAAAGTATCATGAGAAATACAGGCAAGAAGAAAACATGTTTAGGGCATAGACCAGTTCAATAGATCCGAGAATTCTTTGACAGGAGTGATGGGAGATGAGCCTGAAAAGTGCATTGTGATAGATTCTTGGGTACCAGCATTTGGGGCATAAGACAGTAATAGAAATTTTTTCAAACTTCAGAGTTTCCTGAGTGAAATAGATACTGATGATTTAGGAACACTGATCTTTTGACTGTGTTTGGAATGGATTTGGGTGAGAAAAGAGTAGAGATAGGAAAACCTTTCGTGCTATGATTAAGAAGAATTAGATGTGATCTAATGAGTCAGAACCAGGCTTTTTCCATGAACAGGCTCTTGTTGAGCAAGTGACTACTTTTCATGAGAAGCTAGTTAAAATTACACCTGTATCTCTCTATGAATGAAGCATAGGAATCATTTGTACCTCGTTAGAGCATTAAATGACTCTTCTGAAAATACTGTATTTCGTTTGTATGAGTTACAGTGAGTTTAATGTTCATTACTAGATGCTCATACTCATGCCTTGAAAATATAATACTAATGTGATAGCCTATAACTTCTTCTTTTAATATTTTTGCTAGTTTGTTACAAAGATGTGAGCGCTAAAATTCAGCACAAGGGGAGCATTAATTCAAGCCATATAGAGCTTTGTAAACTTATAATTGCTTTTTGATGTGTATGGTTTCCTTTGTAGAGACAAAAAGAAAAAGCTACAAGTCATGTTTATAATTTCTCACCATGTCAAATAATCAACTATTTGAAGTTGTCGAACATTACATTGTTAAATTTTAAATAGGAGGCAGTTTTAACTCCTGTTTATTAAGATCCGAAATCAACATAGAGTGCATACTGAATAAGCATATAGAATAGTAGCCAATTCCATGAAGTCTAATTATACTAATATAGAATCTCATGCCTCATGCATGGTTCTTGGAGCTAGATGAAGTTTACCTGAAGAAACAAATTGTTGAGTATGAATGTGATTTACTCTTTCATTTTAGATTTTAGTCTATGCTATGGAACTTTTCAAGTGAATTCTTTGAACCACAAACGTTCAGATGTAAAATAGATATTTAGAATTTTATCCAATAGGACTATATATCAGAATATATAAAAGTATCCAAATATTTTATCAACATCAAAAATATTTTATTCTTGCCTATGTTACATAAAATATATAACTTGTATGTGTTAGTAAATTATTACCAACTATATTTCCTTAACAACAAAACAAAATATAAGGAAAAAAGACCAAGAAGAAAAGTGTTAAATAAAAAAAGCCGAAATTTCTCTGAAAATCTGTTGACCTACATAACCTTCGCAACATCTGGCCACTACTCATTGTAGTTTGCCTTGTGTAGTATGTACAAACTATTCTCTGTTTAAGTAGATGCCTTAAATCCACACCAAAGCCAATCAGTAGTAGGTTAATGTACCTTCTTTTGAATAGACTCAAGACTATACACTACAAACAGCCTAGAAAGCGGACTTTGAACAATGAGTTAGGGCATAAGTTAACTGATTCCTTTGGGTCTTTGTGGAAGTGGTAGATTCAATACAGTTATAGATTAGTTCTGGTAACTAAATGAGACGAATAGAATCAGGCATGTGGCTGGTGCCCTCTGCAGATACATCTGTAGTGTTGAGACAAACGGATAGCTCCAAGGATCCAGATTCTAGAACCTTAACTTGGGAATCAGATGAGTAATATTAGTACCTATGTGTAGGATAAATGTCAATTGATACGTTAATATTTGCATCAATGTTAATGTTTCTGCATGGTCTGGAATTCATTATCCATACTAAAAATCAACCTTAATATTGCATCTCCAGGTCTGCAGGTCTATTTGTGTGAGTGTAGCTATAATGAGTGTTGTATCATCTTTGGCAGATTGTACCCATTCTATATGTGATGTTGATGTAATCTTCTATTTCATAGGTTCAGTTATCTTGTGGTTCAAAGACTCTAATCCCTGAAAGAGACATGAAATGCCACCTTTACCCAGGGAAGGAGACTTCTCTACAGCATTTCTGATAGTCTCCCATATTAAATTATGATGTTTTAACCTAGGCCATTTTGCATTTTCCCTTTTGACCCCAGCGAAATTTTTATCAGATTGTAGGGAAAGTCAGTTTTGTGAGAATTAATAGACCCAAAATAAAACTAACAGTAGTTAAAACTGAACACAATAGAATTTATTATTGCCTAAATATTGACAGAAAATTTATTGATAAAATTTAAATACAGACCTAGGAAATTTTGAGTTAGTTAAAATATATCTATCAAATAAAAATCATAGTATCATAAAATATGATCAGAACAACTTGGTGGAAACCCCAAACTGATGAATAAGTCAAATTTCATGGTGAAATACACATACAGTGAAACCAATTCCCATATGATTAAAAAGAAAATAGAAATACTGGAATATAACTAGGATGAATAGAACATGAATCAAGGAATTAAAATTATTTAACTGAATTAACTCTAGAAAATAAAATTGATCTCTCAGTTAAGGCGTAATTCATACAAATAGGTTTATAGTCATAAGAAAAAGGTTTTCATGGTCAAAACATTATGGTCATAAATATGCATCTGTTCATAAAAAGGGATTCAAGAGGGGAGGGTTAAAATATCTTCTCCCTTTCTCATGTCCAAAATCATGATGAAAATGGAGGAAGCTTCTCTCTCACCATGTTTGTGCTTAGTGATGGCCAGTTTACTTATTTATTTTTATCCTTTCTTTTTTCCCTGCATGCACTTGATCATCTATATGAATGCATCATTTTCACATGTTATTACATATGAACATCATAGTGATCATGTATGTTGAGTTAGCTCTTATCCCATTTTATAGCTATTTTATGCCAGCCTCAGCATATTGATAAACAATTTTGAAGCTGGAGCAGCCTTTGTGGTTCTTATTATGATTGTAAGACATTCTTAGCAATAACCATCAGGAAATTTTGAAAAAAGTAAAATGAAAAAAGGTTTACTACTTATAGGTCCTGGAAATTACATGGCCCACCTAGGCCCACACAGTGAGGTTACAGGTAGAGAGAGAGAGAGAGAGAGAAGCTGTGGGCTTGGGGTTCTGCTTTGATTGGGGTCGAGGGTAGGGGCCTAAGGTTTCCAGGGCTCATTCTTTATTGGTGAATTTAAAACATAAGAGCAGGAATTTAAGGCATGAGAAGAGAAAAAACAAGGGGCCCAACTCGTCAAAGGATCTCTAATCCAAAGGAGCTCTCTAATATAAACAAGGGAGCCTGGGGGGAGGAGGGCTGGCTCTTTATCTAGCCTGTGGCTGGCGATGTGTTTATTTGAGATAGCCATCTTTGAAGAAGATGCTTCTTTGAAGAAGATGCCTCAGAAATCAAAGCTGAAGTTAGGCACTTGCATTACACAAAAAGCAAAACCAACTCAAAGTTTGCACAACAATAGCCCATAGAAATGAAACAAGTTACCAAAGAACTCAGACAGCTAGGTGGCCAGCCAGGCTAGAAATGTAAGCTAGTCTAATTCCAACTTTAGCATTTCTTCCCTACACCACAACCACAACTGGCAAATATTGATGAACATTTACCTGAAGTAGTCAACCCATAATATGTTGTTCTCTGTTACTACAATTGGTGGTTAATGTCACCTGTCTGTCTTGAAACTGCCCTAGGTTATGTCATATGGCCAGTCCTCCTTGAATCTCCATCACTTCACAGTCCTTTGTCCAAAGTTGAGTAGTGGACCAAAGAGCACTGGACCAGCATTCAGAATAACCAGGTCTCTTCTGCAAGAGTGCCGCATAACAGTGTGAACTTGCTCATGGAATGTCATTTCTCTGAGCCTCGATTTACTTATGGAAGCTTAGGATGATCTTGTCTGCTCTGTTTATTTTGCAAGGCTGTTTTATTAACCAATAATAATGAAACAGCCAGCTTTTAGAGATTAATGGCAACATCTTTATCATTTTCTAGCCACAGAAACTGCTGTACTGCCAGATACGTAAAGAGCAAATCAGATGAAATTTGAGAAAATATGTTGAAAATACAATTTTCTATAAAGAGTACAGGTGTGATTTTTTTGTTTTGTTTTGGTGAGGAAGATTGGCCCTGAACTAACATCTGTGCCAATCTTCCTGTATTTTGTATGTGGGACGCTGCCTCAGCATGGGTCGATAAGCGGTGTATAGGTGCATGCCTGGATCTGAACCGGTGAACCCCAGGCTGCTGAAGTGGAGCACAGGAACTTAACCACTATGCCATCAGACAGGCCCCATGGGTGTGATTCTTTTTATTTGTAATTATCGTGCCTTATCAGAAAGATTTACCCCTCCTTCTTTGTTTTTTCTGCAGGGCCACTGAGATTCCTTTCCCAGACAGAATCTGTCACTGCCTTCATGGGAGACACTGTGCTACTCAAGTGTGAAGTCTTTGGGGAGCCTATGCCGACAATACATTGGCAGAAAAACCAACAAGACCTGACTCCAAACCCGGGTGACTCCCGAGTGGTGGTCTTGCCCTCTGGAGCCTTGCAGATCAGCAGACTTCAGCCAGGGGACATTGGAATCTATCGATGCTTAGCCCGGAATCCAGCCAGCTCAAGAACAGGAAATGAAGCAGAAGTCAGAATTTTATCAGGTATTGCAGTCCTCTTTATTCTCTTCAGAATTACTCTCTGGAGTAGTTTGAACAACAATTTTTCCTTTATCAATATTTTGTGATTGTTTTAAAGTTCTGTATTGTTTACTGGGTTTTGTTATATTTATTTTTTCTCCCTCTCTAACTTCAATGAGAGTATGCCAAAGCTGTTTTTATTTTTCCATGTCTTGTAGTTGAAGTTTCTGGAGAAACAGATATTTTTCTTAAATTTGGCTTCATTCATTCATTCATTCATTCATTAATATATAAGAGTGCTTGTTTTGCAAAGACCATTGTTAAGCATTTTTTATTATTATTTCATTTTCCTCTGATGACACTCTAAGAGGTAGTTATTATTATTCTCATTTTCAAAGTATGAAGGTGAGGCTTAGCGAGGTTAAGAACCTTCCCCAAGTTAATACTGATCATTCATTTACTCATCCATTCACATACTCATTTCTGACAAGCATTGTGCTAATATTAGGTATATAGCAGTGATTAAGACTGACACAGAGCCTGGCCTTTTAGAGTTCTGGGTGAACGTGGACATAAAGTCATTACCATAAAGTGGGATTGATATTACGATAAGGATAGTTGTTTCTCTCCATCTCTTATCTCCATTCCTCTTCCCTGGCAAATCTTTAAGACCGGGCTCATTTTCCTCTCCTAAATCATTGGAAGTTGTCTTGGATATTCTCTAGATCTCTTCTCTACTATCTTGTATCTATGTAATATCTACTTTCTCATTTAGTCTCACTCATTGGGTTTACTTGGACTCACTTGTGAGAATCACAAAGAAGGCACACTCTTGAGTAATTGTGAAGGACTCCCTATCAAAGCATTGCTGTTGTGTCTTGTCTCTCATTCTGTGAGCAGTTATCACAAGTCCTTCAGCAAGACAGAGGGTAACATTCCTAAGCTATTTCAAAAGCAAACTGGCAATTTTATTGAACGTTTCCAGATACTTTGAGAGGACATCTCTAAAACCACTTCTAACTCTTTTATGTATTCCCTCTTCCATAAGTCACAAGGACACTGACTAAAATGTGTCAATAACCATCAGCAACACTGTTGCTTTCCATCCACTAGGCAATGAAGGATGCAAATATAGCATTTATTCCCAACACATACATTCATTTCTTTAGGCATCCATTAGATACATGAAAATTTTAAATATTTATATTCACAGATCCTTAATAATGCATCAAAGTCAATCAGATGGGAAGCCTAGGTAAGGCACAGAGAAAACTGACAAGAATATGTTTCACTATCTTCATATGACTGAAAAGTCTGTTTTCCAATGGCATTAAGGGATAAGGTTGGACTAATTAAATATTAAAACTGAAATGGAGAGTTTTGAAAGACACAGAGACATAATCATCAAATCACCCTTTATGTTTATTTGTTCACCTTGTAAAACACATTTGCATTGTAATCCATGGAGATTTATTTAAAGCCAAATTTCATATTGCTAATTTGGCTAAAATTAAGACTATTTTGGTGTACTTTGGAGATGTGAGAGTATTTCTTACCTGAATAAAAAGTGAAATTTTTTGAAATCATTACATATAATGAAAAATTTTCTCCAAGTTCTATGAATTGAAACATAAAATTCAAAAAGGAATTATGAGCTGTAGTAATAAACACACATACACAGACATGATCTTGTCATATTCGATGAGGTTTGTCTCGTATGCCATTGACCACATAAAGGACCTGCTGAATGAGCATATGTTTGTCTCATTCATGTTCAAGTTTGCAAGTTGGTTAAGAGGTCAAACACACAGGTCCACAACAAGTACAAAATTGAGTGAGAGAATGAAAGAATGAGTGATCAATCCCAGCTTCTCTAGTTTCCACGTATGCTTCTTTCATTTTAAAAATCATGCTGAGTGATATCAGCATCATGGTGGAGTGAGCTCTTCCCTTGGAATCTCCCTTCTAAAATAAACTAGAGGAACATTCAAACACCAACAGAGGACACACACACAACACAGGAGATGTCTGGGAGACCCACACAGCCATACCTCTGAAGGTGGTGGTGAGGCTGGATCCTCCAGAAGAAGGTGAAGCTGCTTGGCAGGAGCTCCATGGAGAGAGAAGACTCATGGGTAGAGGAAGGGCACAGTTGGGGACAGGTGGTCTGTTTCTGCCTGACATGCCAGCCCTGCACTCCAGCCCAATGTTCCCTGGGAAAGTGGTGCAGTGAGAGAGGGGCAAGTTAGATGAGAGGCTCAGCTGGGGAGGGGAGCTCTGTCCCCACCCCCGGGCACCAGCCCCCTACTCCAGCCCCATGTTCACCAGGAAAGTGGCACAGTGAGAGGGGCTGGTAAGAGGAGTGGCTCAGCTGGGAAGAGGTGCTCTGGTACAGTCTGGTGCTCCAGCCCTGTACTCCAGCCACACGATTGTGGGGAGCACCACACGGAGAGAGCAGCAGTGGCAGGCAGAGCCCCATGAGTGCCCAGAGTACCACGCAGAGTGAGATGCATCGGTTGGAGGAGGCATGCATGTATACGAAAGTGCTCCTTACCTCGCCTGACACTCCAGTCCTGCTGTCACTCAGAGTTCCACACAGAGTGGTAAGCAGAGGCTGAGGGAAGCATAGGGGAAGTAGAGCACCCCTCCCCCTACCCAGTGCTCCAGATCTGCCATCAGCCAAAGCATTGCACAATGAGAAAAGCAGCCAGTGGCTGGAGCTGGGGATCCCCAGATCATGCTGGACCCAGAATACACAGCACCTGATCCTCACCCAGTGGAGACATGTGGCAGCAGTGACCAGATAATAATGTCATCCAGATGCAAAAAATCCACACCATCAAGCAATATGAGAAAGTATATTAAATCTCAAGACCAGAAGGAAGATGACAAGTACCCAGAAGCCAACCCTGAAGACACAGAAATCCATAACCTAAATGACAAAGAATTCAAAATAGCTGTCATAAAAAACTCAACAAATTACAAGAAAACACAGAAAGACAAATTAACAAATTTGGGTGTTTCTTCACAAAAGAGATTGAAACTTTAAAGAAGAACCAATCAGAATTGTTGGAGATGAAAAACACAATGGATGAGATTAAAAAAAATCTGGACTCCCTAAACAACAAAACTGACAATATGGAAGACCAAATTAGCAATTTAGAAGACAATACTATAGAAATGCTTCAGAGGGAGGAGAAGAGAGAACTAAGACTAAAAAGAAATGAAAAGGCTCTCAGAGAGATATCTGACTCAATTAAGAAATGCAACATAAGGATTATAGGTATTCCAGAGGGGGGAGAAAAGGAGAATGGAGCAGAAAGCTTGTTCTAAGAAATAATAGTGGAGAATTTTCCAAACCTGGAAAAGGAGATGGAAATCCACACAAAAGAGGCTACCAGAACTCTCAAGTATGTTAATGTAAAAAGATCTACTCCAAGGCATATAGTAGTAAAGCTAGCAAAAGTCAATGACAAAGAAAAAATATTAAGGACAGCAAGGCAGAAGAAAATAAATTACAAAGGAACCCCTATCAGACTTTCAGTGGATTTCTCAGCAGAAACTTTACAGGCTAGGAGAGACTGTAATGATATATTCAAAATCTTGAAAGACAAAAACTTTCAGCCAAGAATTCTTTATCCAGTGAAAATCTCCTTCAGATATGACAGAGAAATAAAAACTTTCTGAGATAAACAAAAGCTAAGGGAGTTAATCACAATAAGACTCCCACTACAAGAAATCCTCAAGAAGGCTCTCATACCTGAAAGGAAAAAAAATAAAAGAGGAAAAGAGCTACAAAGCCCTGAGCATGGAGATGAGTAGGTATGCAACAATCAGAAATCAGCAGCTCTCTATCAGATCAGGTTGGTAAACACTTAATTCTTACATAAAGGATAAAGAAAAGGAAAACACCAAAATAAAACTTATATCATCACCTTACCCACAAACTCACAACACAAAATGAGATAAGATTTGACAAAAATAAATTAGAAGGGGAAGAGGAAAGGGACGGCATCAGTATAGTCTAAGGAAATAAGAGGCAATCAGAAAATGGACTTTCTCATCTTCAAGATTTTTTATACAAACCTAATGGTAACCAGTAAACAAATAATTAGAACAGAGACATATGCAATAAACAAGGAGAAAAAGAAGAAAACCAACCTGTAGAAAACTACCTAATCAAATCAGTAACCCAATATACATGGGACAAGAAACAAAGGATGTGCAGAAGAACCAGAATATGTGCAAGAAGATGGCAGTATTAAACCCTCATACATCAATAATCACTCTAAATGTAAATGGACTGAATTCTCCAATCAAAAGACACAGAGTGGCAGGATGGATTAAAGAACAAGACCCAACAATGTGCTGCCTCCAGGAAACACATCTCAGCTCCAATGACAAACAGAGGCTCAGAGTGAAGGGATGGAAGACAATACTCCAAGCTAATGGCAAACAAAAGAAAGCAGGTATCACCATACTTATATCAGACAAAGTAGACTACAAGATAAAACAGGTAAAGAGAGACACAGAGGGGCAGTATTTAATGTTAAAAGGGACTCTCCAGCAAGAAGAAATAACACTTATAAATATATATGCACCCAACACAGGAGCACCAAAGTACATAAAGCAACTATTAACATGACTAAAAGGAGATATTACCAACAACACAATAATAGTAGGGGACCTGAACACCCCACTTACTTCAATGGATAGATCATCCAGACAAAAAGTCAGCAAGGAGATAGTGGAATTAAATGAAAAACTGGACCACACGAACTTAATAGATACATAGAGAGCATGTCATCCAAAAACAGCAGAGTATACATTCTTCTCAGCTGTGCATGGAACATTCTCAAGGATAGACCATATATTGGGAAACAAGGCAAACCTCAATAAATTTAAATAGATTGAAATCATATCTACTATCTTTTCTGACTATAATGCTATGAAACTAGAAATCAACTACAAGAAAAAAGCAGGGAAAGGAAAAAAAAATGTGGAGACTAAACAACATGCTACTG